GTTTTGAACGGTACCCATCAAACGATCCTTTAGATTCTGCAAGAAACAGACGAAACATTATTCAAAGGAATCGCACATCGGCAGCTTCATCACGGCGTATATCAATAACATGAAAATGTGTCGTCAAAAAAGTTCCGATGACAACAAATGATAAAAATCCATTTTTTCCAACCTTCACTTTCCCAGGACGTCTGACTTTTGCGTGCACCGAGCCAACACCCCAATGACGTTCCTCACGGAACAAATATATCCATGCCTCCGGAATTGGGAATCTGATCTGAATATCTTCACATGGGATTTGACGTTTTGCTACCCTACCACCTTTTGTTTTCTCTGTCTGAGCGGCCACCATTGCTTCAAGACGGATTTCAATCTGCAAATCGAAATTTATTCGTCGACGGATCTACTGGAAACAGTTAAGTCACAGCATTCATATACTTGAATCTATGCTGTACGGTAACAGTAAAAGCTGACATGTAAGCAATTTACTATTAGAGCTCGTAATTCTGGAATTCGTACGGAATTCTCTCTTTTGTGAGCATTCTGATCGTGGTTTCTAGTACATCAAGAGACGGGATATGATCTTTCGATGATCACTAAACAAAACACTTCGAACGTACTTTAGATCCGGCGATTTTCATGACACAGTTTACCGATAACGGTTTCTCCCGATTTCGCGGCGGCCTTATTCGGAAACGCATCACCTAAAATTTTAAAATACATCAGGTAATGAGTCAATTCCTCTAAAATCAGTTGATGATTCGACTGAATGATGATGTTTGAGATGGCAGTGAATATGGATTGAACTTGTTGAATGAACTACCTCAAAGAAACATCCGTCTGGTGGTGAGAATCGTATCACTTGCTCTTTATCGAATGTGTCCGCATCGACCGTGTTATGGAACTCAACATTCTCGAAGCGAATCCATCGTTCCGTATACATCGGGAGAATATCTTTACGACGAACAATTTCCTGAATGCATGACACTGCAGTCGTTATTTATTGACGAATTTCACTTATTAGCAGAATGCACAAATATCAGGTCTTATTCTCTGAAAGGTGTTCGGTTTTACCCGTTTCAAGCGATTAAACGAACCTTTCCCTGTCGTCGTCGATCATTCAATCCAACCTCGATTAACGGTGATCCAGAAAGGAACGCCAAACAAAACAGACGCACACGAGCCTTTTGATCGCTCAATATATTATGTTTATCCACATAAGCGTAGTATTCATCATAGCAGTGAACCTGAAAAATGATTCACAAGATATTTCATACCAATTCAATCCAAACTAAAATTTGCATCATCAAAATCACGAATAAGTTCACCTGAACTTCGTCTTGCTTATAGATAGGAGCCGTATCTCGTTTTGCGATACACTTGAAGAGAACATCCTCAACGGTCGCAACGAACGACGACAATTCACCAGCATTCAGTGAACCAAACTTGAGCAACACTGTACACTGAGCCGAATGTTCCAATGGCAAACCATATTTTGTGATATGGCCCTCGACCAAACGACTGATCTGACCTGTAACTCATAACCTTTAGAATCAATCGGACACGATCCATCTGCTGTTTTGACTTTACTCATGCAACGTTTCAGCAACGTTGAGGAGTGCTCGCACTGCTAAGAGTATCACCAAACGTCACAATATCTCTCAGAATTACTGATCGAATACAGATTGACGGGCAAACACTATTCGGCCAAGAAAATGTAACACCGAACCTGGCCTTATGCCGACACGTTCTTTGTACAATACGTACTGTAGCTTGACTGTATGAATTTTACCGTACACATCGTACGCTTGTAAAGTCGTATCAGACAATGAATAGGTCGCCTGCAAAGAAACTGGTGAGTTGGATCAAACACATTGAAATTTCCGACTGTACGGAGTGAACAGATTTTCAGAATAACAACAAACGATTTAATACTTATATGAATATTCCGAAATTACAAATCCGATGATTGCGATATGTTATTTCTGGCGAGGATATGAGCTTTTTTGAGAACATAATTAAGATAATGTCAACCAATCCGGTTTGATAGATAGAAACAATCACGAAGATATAGTCGATCGGAATGAAACATTTCAATGAACCTGTAGCACGATCTCTTGAAAGGGTTTTTGATCTGTTCGAGAATTGCACAGTTGCAGTGTGCTACCGATCAATTTTATAAAGCACGGTTTCCAGTAGCGATCGCCCATCATCTTCTTCTTTATCGGATGCCTCACCATTAACTCCCAACCATCTCCGGCGAATTTCGTCGGGAATTCCGTCAATGCTTCACTATCGTCTTCGTCATATAATGGCGACGGTGTACTCAGCGCATCATCCTTCAATTAGTCATGAAGTGAAGACTTCTTCAGATAAGGTTATTCTGCATAATATAAGAAATACGGCGATGAACAGAATAGACTGGAAATCTGCGACAATT